ACTGAAAAACTGACATTAATATGTCCTAAAAGTGAACACAGTCTCGTATCACCTATGTCAGTTGATCATGAGGCATATTGGAGAAAAAATCGCATGTATTCAGAATGGCAAAGTGGACTAAGTGAAAGAAGAGTTGCATTCGATAATGCTTACAGCACTAGACGCAAGATAGACATTTGCAAAGCATGGCAAAGCAAGGACAAGCCAATACGCCCACGCAAACGTTGGACTAACAACATCCAAGGTGAATCGAGGGAAGAGACAGGCCTGCGTAAGGAGTTGGCAGTTAAGAGATTCCAAACGGAAGTCTCTTCTATAGGAGAAAAGACTGCCGAGATACGAATTAAAAATTGGAAACATGGACATCAGCATGAAATTAGTATTTCAGGAGGACACTCCACCTCAGGTTCAGGACTTTCTTTTAAAATTATGGAAAAGAAGATACTGACAAGGAAGAGGTGAAGTCCGTAGAAATATGGAGTAGGAAGGATACATGGGTCCAGACATATGGGGAAAACTACTGCAGAGACAAGAAATGTATGAAGGAAAAAAGAAGCAGCAATACCCGCCCTAAAATTACAAAGAGCATCAACCAAACTGCAGCACACAGCCCCGGCCGCAGTTACGCAAGTGTGGTTAAGTGTGATGTGCAGCAATCATTCCGCCAAGTTAGGTCAGGACACAATTTCCAACAAAACACTCATGAGGAACAGTTGGATTTTAAACCCAAGCGGCAACCACGTGGACAATACGTAGAGGATCGATACAAGGTATATTCACAAGTGGAAAGAGTAGGTTTCCATCCTCGAGGTGACGGATTCTATGGAAATGTAAACCACTGTGGTCAAGAAAAGAAATAGAAAACATCCTCATGAAAATCATGAACACTACCATAATTTAAATTACCGCCATCAAAGAATCCAATACAGGTAAAGACAGATTCTGAGAAGCCTGAAGATACTCGAATTTACCCTAAAATAATAAATCTCTCAAACAGAAAATTAACAGACACAGAAATCAAATTATTAAAACGGGCTCTGAAATTCACGCCAACACAACACCAGAACAACGAAGAGTTGAAAGTGGATATACATCATTTTGGTAGACGACTGAGACTTCTGGAATATTTTAAAGGCTTTGAAGAGAATAATATAGTCAACTCACAGGAACTTGCGACATCAAACGTAAGTCATGAATCTAAGTGTCCTTCATTAAGAAACAAAAGTGGGTTCAAACCTAAACGAAATAGAGACAAATATTTGGCTGAATATACGGATACTATCGAGAAATTTCCTTTAAATAATTTCAACAGAGTTAAACACAATTTATCGTTTGAGGAGAGAGAAGCACTAGCGGAAATGAAAAATGATCATTCTATTGTAATCAAAGAGGCTGATAAAGGTGGAGCGGGGGTCATTATGTATTCGGCATTCTATGAAACTAAAGTGAATGAATTGTTACATGACCGGGAATTCTATCAGGAAACTTTCTGGTTTGGTTTGTTGTTTCACACCGCACTCAGCAATATTCCAGCTATATGACGGCGGTCTGTAAATAATCGAGTCTGGACCAGACAATCCAGTGATTTACATCATGACCATCGATCCACGCAATTGGGATCGATGACATGTATCAACCAAGTCAGCGAGTCTGACCATCCGATCTCGTTACTCGCCTTTTACGACAAGCATAGTCACCTTTTACGACAAGCATAGTCGCCTTTTACGGCAAGCATGGGTTGCTAAAGACCTATTCTTCCCCGATCTTCACGGGTCCTATCAGGAAACTAACGACCAAGAAAATGCTGCAGTACAGAAAATAACAAAGCACATAAGACGCTATTCTAATCACCTCCATGAAAAGGAACAAGATTATTTATGTAATTACAATACCCAGACTGCAAACTTTTATGGACTGCCAACAATACACAAAAGTCAAGAGATAAGGAACAGAATTGTGAATATGTGGAAATCAATAACCCTAAATAGTTATCATTTAGGCCTATTGTTTGAGGCCCTACTCAGTCCTACGCAACTTAGATATAATTCTGAAACCTCTCACGAAGAAAGTTCCACCAAACGGAAGTCATACCGACGGATGCTGTTCTCGTGACCTTTGACGTGAAAAGTTTGTATACTAATATACCCCATGGTCTGGGATTGGTTTGGTTTGTTTGTTGTTTTACGCCGCACTCAGCAATATTCCAGCTATTTGACGGCGGTCTGTAAATAATCGAGTCTGGACCAGACAATCCAGTGGTTAATGTCATGAGCATCGATCCACGCCATAGGGATCGATGACATGCATCCACCAAGTCAGCGAGCCTGACCATCCGATGCCGTTAGTCGCCTTTTACGACAAGCATAGTCCCCTTTTACGGCAAGTTTGGGTTTCTGAAGACCTATTCTACCCCGAAATCTTCACGGGTCCCATGATCTAGGACTTAAAGCAGTGCAATATTGGTTGAATAAGCATCCAGATGCTCTGGACTGCAATTTCACGCATACGTTCATCATGGAATCTTTGAAATGTATACTGGAGAACAACACGTTCTATTTCAACAAGAAGTTTTATCAGCAAGTAAGCGGAACAGCCACGAGAACAAAGGTAGCACCCACAAACGCCACACTGGTAATGGGATACGTAGAAGAAATGTTATATTCCAAAGTAGAACATTTGATTGATGTAAATACAGCTAAACATATTCGTGAAACATGGAAAAGATATCTGGACGACTGTTTTATTATTTGGTTCTCAACAGTGAAAGAGTTACACGATTTCCGGAAGATTCTGGATTCGATCCATCCTCTGATTTCATTCACTATGGAATGTTACCACAATGAGATTTCATATTTGGACGTGAAGTTTTAATTAAGCAAGGGGACCAATTGAAAACAGTTATTTACTAAAAGCCGACGGACATTATCAGTACCTCCAATTCAATTCATGTCATCCGCGGCACACTAAAATTAATATGTCTCCAACTACAAGGATATCCATGTGGAGTGATTAAAGACGCTGTAAATAAAGAAATGGAAATTCCACGAGAAACATTAATGAAAACAAAAAACCGATACAGATACAGACACGGACATTCTTCCATTTGTGAGTACCTACAATCCTAGAAACTGTAAAATTATGCCCCTTATGAAAGCCAATCTTGCAATTTTTTCAGCAAAGTAAAACTATGAAATCATGTTTATCTAAGTGTAAACTTATATACGCAGCACTAGACAGCCTAAAATCGTTAACAAATTCTTTGTCCATCCAAATACTCACAAAATATACTCAACAACAAAAGTTCCTGTGACACCAATATTTTAGGGAATTTTTAAACAAGTAAGGTTTGGTTTTCAATATTACAGTACATGTATCGAATCAAGTCACAAAAACGCAACTGCTACAGAAAAGCATGCATTCCATGCAAAAGTTGACTTTTACGCAAGCTCCATGCATTTCACTTGCCAAGAATGGGTATAATAAAAATGTGCGTTAACGGGATTCCATATGCACTGTTTAGCATCGTGCTGACAACAACCACTCAGAAAAACAACAAAATTACGAAATTATTCAACATTACGAAATGCCACGCCTGTCCGAAAATGAGCGTCCGCGAGCCATTGGTATGCTTGAAGCAGGATCGAGTCAACGTGATGTTGCAAGACAATTTAGCGTCCACAGAAACACCATTTGGTGTTTATGGCAACGTTGGCAACAGATGAATGCTGTCAGAGACCATCCTCGGAGTGGCAGGCCACGCGTAACCGCATCTTCCCGAGTTAAATGACTATAAAAGTCCAGTTTCCACCCTTGCCGAACTAGGCTGGTATTATGAAGTTACGTTTTGTCTGGACTAACGAGTCTATGCATAGTCCAATCAAATTCGCGCACTGAAATCAAAATCCGGTTCGTAAACTGTCGTGCAAATTTCGATCGATTGCAAAGCATGTGCATCGCCAATTCGTTGTCAGCAGATATTTTCAAAATCCTTTTATGTTTTTAATCAAGGTGTTCACGTGATTTGATGCATTTCGCGATATACAGTAAGACCCGTTTTATCACAATATGGATCTTGATTATCGATCAGATCGTCCTGACTGGGCGCCACCATTTTGTGTGAAGCAAACGCAAGTGATACGAGAGGTGGAATCTGATTGGTCCATAGGAGAGGCCTAGAAGGGACATAATTGGTAATAGCCACTGGTGGCGTAACGATCCCTGGCCTTTGACGAATATCTTCACAAACCGTACGTCGTCGCCTTAGATGTGCAAGGATTGTCACCAGAAGACCCGCCAGACGTCCCATTTTGACAGGAAACCACCGTCAAGCACGTCTACTGTGGCGCAGACAGCGTCTACGCTGGACGGCCATGCAGTGGGGACAAGTTCTATTCACTGACGAGTCTCGTTTTCACCTCAGCCACAGCGATGGACGGATTCGAGTGTACCGACGTCGAGGTGAACGTTACGTCAATCATTGTGTCATGGAAGAAGATCGGTTCGGGGGGCGGCAGCGTTATGGTATGGGGGGGGGGGGGGGGGGGTGTTACATCAAGACAGAGGACCCGTTTGATAGTGGTAGAGGGAAATCTCAATGGACAGCGCTACCGCGACGAGATCAACGGCCCTGTTGTTCTTCCGTTCTGCGTCGTCATGGCCTAGGCATTACCTTTCAACATGACAACGCCCGGCCTCATATGGCTCGACTTGTTCAGGATTCTCTTCAACAAAACAACGTGAATGTCATCCCCTGGACGGCTCCCTCCCCTGATCTCTCACCAATCGAGCACATGTGGGATGAGATGGATCGGCGCCTTCGACGTCAACCACGTGTTCCACAGGCACTCCAGGAACTTCAAAACATGCTCCAACAGATATGGACAGATATCCCACAGGGCTTTGTGCGACGCCTGGTCCATTCGACGAGACGAAGATGTGTTGCTTGCATCGCAACCAGAGGTGGACTCACACGCTATTGATTTGTAAATTGACATTTTGGCATGTTCATGTTTTTTATGAAATCACGCATTTTCTGAAGTCATTATGGCAAATTAAACCATTTGAACACTTACAGGAGCCTTTATCTGTTGCAAATCGAAATTGTATCAGATTTGGTTAAAAAACATTACTTTGCATAAAATCGTATTTAATGTCACAGGAACTTTTGTTGTTCAGTATACAAATACCGTCAGTGTAACAAAGTGTAAAACACCTCGATGTGGAACTTGCCGAATAATAATAATAATTTCAATTTTGCCAAGATAAACTATTTATTGTTAAAAACGACATTAACTGTCACAATATAGATGCTATATGTGTTTTAACATGTGCGGGATGTGGTTAGCATTATAACCTGGTATGCAACTAAAAGACCGAATCACTGTACACAGACAACAAAATCGAGATCAAAATGTACGTTGTATAAATGTAAGCAAACACATTGATGAATGCGGGAGTGGTCATTTTACTGTCTTTCCGTTCAGTACATTGTTTAATAATGACAAACATTTAAGAATGGAAACAGAACAGATGTTCATTATTAGGCTTTTGAAACCTAAACTTAATTCAAAAGTATAATTTTCAAAACTTCCCCATGTAGCTCAATGTGTATTTGTGCACTCACGCCATAATGTATTCATACCTGCCACTATTATCACTAGCTATGACTTTAAAAGCATAACGTTGGCTGTCGCCTAGGACTACGTTTTACTTCTTCCTCTATTGTCCCCGTTACATCATAGACATTATGACGCCACAAATACTACTGTTATGCGTCGCCTAGGACTACAATGTAAGTTAAAGTTTTCATTACACCCGAAGAGCCGTTGAAGGGCGAAAGATCTTGTGTGGATTAAGGAGTTTTGACAAGCACGAATATCTGGACTCTATTTTTTCTAAATTTAATACTTAATACACCTGATGAAATCACGATCATGTAAAGTAGATATATGTCTGTTTCAGGATCAGACCCTGGCCATTGCATATAGTCGACTAGTGACAAAGTGTCTCCAGGAAAAGAATATATGTATAAAACGCTCGACTCTGTCATCTCGAACTGTTGCCTAGTTCTGGTTAGTTTCAACGAACACCCACAAGATGTCTCACCACCATCCTTTAATTTTCAATTCATTTAGGTAACTCAGAAGTACATTTGCTTTCGCTATATTCATCCCAAGTCCATAATGCTCACCATCAAAACTCGTCATTCCATCCGTCATGTTAAAGGTATCGAAAATAGGAACTTTCCACCGTCTTAGGAAACTCTCCATGTTGCCATTGTATCGTTTTACACTGTCGTACGACTGGGCTAACACTTTCGGGGACTTCATGATACCTGGAGCATGACTCGCCGACCACAGTATTTTTGGCCAAGGTCTGTTATTTTTGTCTTTGTAGTACAATGTTGGTAACAGAAACATTCTTTGGACATCTGCGTGGTTAAAATGATCGTGAATTCCTATTCCTGTGAAAAGTAATGACTTGCTGTTTAGTCTTGCTACATTTCGTTTCAATTTTTGTCCGAATTTCGAAGAGAACAAGTACTTCAGTTGCAGATTAACTGTACCATCGCAAGCATGCAGCCCATACATCAGATGCAGTCGACATACTTCTTCTGTGAACATATACATTCCACTGCACTCACTTCTAATATCTGAAAGAAAATACATGAATTTATGTAAAACTCAATCAATGTGTATTACTTATGTATTAACAATGAAACAGCTGTATGTGAACTGTTACTCCTCTTAATATTCCAATTTCCAAATGAAGATTTTAATGATAAAATCAGTTTCAAAAAAACAAAAACATAGGACGTCTTTGTTAAAGTTCATATATCTATCTATCACAACATATGTTTTCAAGTATTCTTTTACTTTTGTCAAAACTTAGCATATTTACTCCTTTTCTTCATAACCCGAGTCAGAGACTTTAAGTCAGACAGGGGTACTCGTCATACAAGAAACACGTAAATGATTTCACAACATTGACTATTCGACTTACTTTCTGGTACATTTTCACTTATGGCTCCACTATTCATATTCCCTGTCACAATAAGCAGCATGGCCGTATATACATGACGAACAAGGGAATCCCCAACAAACAGAATCGTGCTTCCGCTGAGGATGCTGCAAGCTTCTTGAGGGCTGTGTTCCTTGTAGCCATATTTACTCTCTGAAGGGATCCAGGTGGAATATTCCGCATGTTTCAAATGCCTCATGTCATAGCAGTCGGGACACACACATTCCTCCACAGACTTCATAATGCATTTGTTATTAAAGCAGCAAGGGGTTGTTCCTTTAGGATCACACAAGGCTCTTATCCACCCAGCAGCTTTAGATCCGGTGTGGGTAACATTTCCACAGAGACCGTCATTCCTTTGATTGTTCGTTGGTACGCCGAATCGAGCATTTGCGTTTGAAAGAAATGTCAATATATCATCATCTTCCTTTTTTGTCAAAGGTCTGGTTTTCCAGTGTCCGGTCAATAAATCCGATAATATGTTCGAACGCGCATTAAATGTTGTGATATTTCCGGATGAAGGATAGTAAGACAAATTGATTGTTGAAGGTGGATACTGTCCGAAAAAGTCGACTATGTTGCCTGATAAATCACTGAGTATGTCAAACGTCATGACTTCAGAGCTGTTCAAGTACGTAACAAGAGTTACAAACGATGCTATCAGTAACACGGACATCTTCTTGTATGAAGCCATCTATGTTCAAGAAAAAGGCATGTTATACATTGAACATTATGTCCACCGCTTCTGTTATGCTAGATAGTTCTATTAATTAGAATGCTTAATACAAAAGTTTCTGTTATCTGATAGTTTGATTGCGGACAAAACTTCCAATACAAAACACCATGCTGTGTATAAAACTAATCAATAACTTAAATGCACATGAGCATGAATTAAGCACCACACGCGTTTCTGTGCTTCATTGAAAACATACTGGTGTAATTCATGGTTGCAACACGATATAAGAGTTGTAAACAGACAAACAGAACGTCTTGCACTACCATCACACAAATAATGTAGCTGACACTAGCAATCGCTACCGTTTTATTGTCTTTGTCCGCTGACGTTCATTCTAACAACGCTGAAAGCACCCAAGTATCAGCACCCAACCCAGACCACAGTGTCACACTATGCAGTGAAAAACGACTGTCAACCGCGAATCACGACGGACTCTGCAATCAGTAAATGGTAGATTTAAATCTTGATGCAATGTCTTATATTGACATACTGAATGTCTAGCGCATGTCTTTAAATTTCATCTGGAAGCAGATATGCATGTCCCATTATGCCCAAGCATGGATACAGCCTTTAGGTGCAGTTCGTCATCAGGCGATTCGCGTTCATTAATCTTTATATTCCGTGGGAAATATATCGCCAAATGAATGATAAGTTCGTATATGTTTACGTTTAGTATGCCTGTTCTAATTATGTTGAATAAACATGTCATGAGGCAGACAGACTAAACCAGATGGGGCAGAAAATCAATCCGATTCTTTCCTGGCGTTAAGGGCAAACATATTTCAAGACTGTTTTGATTTTTCTGATAGGGTTTGCTCACTCTTCGTGATTACGCATAGACATATGTAAATAATTCAAAAACACCCACCAACTGCTCCTTAGCTAGAAGTTTGTATAAATGCAAGAGATCTATTTCAACTAGCCGTACTCAAATGGCGGAGTAGAGTCAACCATGATGTCGTTTATTTACAGACCGCCGTGATATAGCTGAACTATTGCTGAGTGCGGCGTTAAACAAAAAACAAACAAACATTGTTTCTCTAATATTCATAAAATTCTATAAACTTTACATCATCTTTTTGAAAAATGTGAATCTGTTCTGTATCATGTGGATTTCGAGTCATTTTACAGAATAATTCTCCAGCCCCAAGTATGACATAACATTCGCTGGCTACTTGCGATCACATTGCAATACGAACAAGAAAGAGGCATCTCAACACAGCGCTGTCGAGTAAGTATGTCGCGTATTACTCATTAATAATACGCAACAATAACCTGTCCCTTTCTATAAGCTATTGTAAACGTTGAAGGGAGGATAGAAAACGCAGCAGACAAGCAAAGAGAGGAGCAAAACAGGCGCTCAAGAGGCTGCCCACATCCCGTCCAGATGCCCCAATCCTCATGCCATTCACGAGGAAGCCTTGCATCCACACCACAGCCCTCCTGACGACATTGACTCCACTTTCGACAATCTGTTCTGAGCCCACGAAGACAGAGATGCAATGCAACCACACCATGGTCTCCAAATGCCCAATGGATCAATGAACGAAGCGTCTCCCCAAGTCTGGCACTTGGGGCAGTGGTGCACAAACCCGAAAAGACACAGCCGAACCCGGTTGTCTCTCCTCTCCCTCCATCCCATCAGGTTTATGCACGCCACGCACACTATAACCGCCTGACATACGAATGTTGTTTTTTTTCACATAAAGCCATGCTTCGACCAAGACATACAATGACACCATTATGAATAGTCCTTTATGTTTGATAATTGTAATTAAAGGGGAAAACAATATTCAGACAAGCTGATTATGTTGAGTTGAATAATGTCATTTGAACATTTCAGTCATATAGGGTCATGTCTTGTGGATGTGAAAGGAAAACCAAAAGTGATATAGGTCGTGAACGTTTATCTGTTTGTATAGTGCTGACGGACCAAGATCATAATCTTCAAAATATACCAGTCATCAGGATGTCCCCGGTATTGGCAACAATAGAGTTGGTCGGTTTGTTGTTTTACGCCGCACTCAGCAATATTCCAGCTATATGGCGGCGGTCTGTAAATAATCGAGTCTGGACCAGACAATCCAGTGATTGATATCATGAGCATCGATCCACGCATTGGGATCGATGACATGCTTCAACCAAGTCAGCGAACCTGACCACCCGATCCCGTTAGTCTCCTCTTACGACAAGCATAGTCGCCTTTTACAGCAAGTATGGGTTTCTGAAGACCTATTCTACCCCGGATCTTCACGGGTCGGCAACAATAGGGAAGAATAGAGGAATGCTGACGGAATAGAGGAATGTTATTGTCAATTTAGAGTAATTCTCATAACACTAGTTGATTAAAGAAATAACGACGTACATAAATTATAAATGCAATATCATTTGAAGATGACTTGCCTTAGTGCACGTTTCCATAGTCCTTTGAACAACTGCAATATGTTAAATACGTGATAGAAGGGCATGCTTGAAACACTCTGCCCGCTGAGTACATTTCAGGGGTGAACATATTTCGTGACATGTGTACCTTAAGGGGCAGATACTGCTAACACGCACGCATGAACGGTAATTATTGATTGTGAAAAGAATACCTGCTATATACCTGTACAAAGCACGGACTGCTCTTATCAGATCCATGTATATCAAATTTCATTATTGCTCCAACCAGTCTCTTTGTTAATATTTGCCAAGGGACAATATATCCCTCCGTCCTGTGCTCTCGTTCGTAATCTTCAGCTACCCATGCTTGGTTACCGGGATCAGATGTTCAAGCTCGGTGACATTGTTGTTGAAAGTCACCGTATTGACCTAGGGACCGACCGTTGATATTCTGGGGCCGGGGCAGTGGGGGTCTTGCTATAATGCGGCAGTTAAAATTATTTTCAAGACTTTTCGGGGACAACGTATTTTTTTTCAATAAAATTCCAGCCTACCCTCTTCCCGAATATCAAGTGGTCGTTTCCTGAGATTTTTATCAATACATTCGATCTCGTAGCCGAGATAACAAGAGGATAATCAGTTCATTGCTCAAACGCATTTGTTGCGAGTGACAAGGCGTACAGCTAGGTAATAGACCGGCTGGATATATCTTGATCTATGCATGACCCTTGCACTTTGAAGCTTCAAGGACAGTCACTCCACGTACAATAATATCCTGAAACAATGAGTAAGAAACATATTAAAGATTGTTGTTTAGCGCCGCTTGGAGACGTTGATTGCGTTGGACTTTGCTCCTAACGTCAAACACTGGTTAATCTGCAACAGAATCGATTATGCCTTCTATTGTGATATATCTGGCTCTATAAAGTGCTCCGCAATATAACAGCTATATGACCACAGTCTGTAAATAATCGATTCTGGACCTGACAATCTAATGATTGACATCATGAGCTTCGATCTGCGCAATTGGGATACAATGACATGCATCAGCCATGTTAGCCAGCCTGACCTCCCGATCCAGTTAGTCGCTCTTACGACAGGCGTGTGATGCTGAAATCAATTCTAACTCGGGTCTTCACAGAGGCCCAATTTAGTTGAATCTTACGACTAGCAATCGACCCTGGGTCCCCAAGGGGGAATTCACTGCCGTCATAAGCTAGAATATTGCTAAGTGCAGCGTTAAACAGCAAAAAAAACAACTCATCGGCAGTATTTCAGCCATACCAGACATAAAAACAATGTTTCCCAAGCCCTTACTATGTTATGGATAGAATAAAGCAACTTCACAGTGACTGGATTCTGAACAGTGGACTGAAAGGCAGTATTTAAAACACAAAATGACATAATATTAATATCAAATCAATTACCTACTTTACAACCACTTTGTAGTCTGTGATTAACATATGTATACTGAAACTAAGACCCTCCACTCACAGTCCTCGCCACAAACAAGCCATCGGCCAATGTCATATAAAAGATTTGTTTGTTGTTTAACGCCTCACTTGGCAAAATTGGATACGATGACATGCATCAACCATCACCTCCTACGACAGACATAGTCGCCTTTTACAGCAAGCATGGGTTGCTGAAGACCTATTCTCCCCTGGATCTTCACGGGTTTCATATATTTTTGCAGCTTAGAATATGAATAGATTTTGCAGCTCAGATCGTAATCTATCAGTATGGATTCCCGGTAATGCCCTGGAATATTTACAGCCTCGCTGTCAAACGGTAATTAAATGTTTGCCATGTCCGGGGATGAAAGGCGCTGTTTACATGTTATATATTCCCTTGAAGATCCGTGGTAAAATAGGACTATGTTTGTCGTAAGGGGCTTGCCACTAACGGGATCGGGTGGTCAGGCTCCCTGACTTGGTTGATGCATGTTATCGATCCCAATTGCGTGGATCGATGCTCATGATATTAATCACTGGATTGTCTGGTTCAGACTCGATTATTTACAGACCGCCGTCATAGAATTGGAATATATAACTGTGTGCGGCGTTAAACAACAAACAAACAAACAAATACATTTATTATATTTGCTCCTTGGCTATTCTGACCCTTTGGATAAAATTTGCTTATAAATTTACACTATTCATCAAGTGTGTGTTGATGTTAATCTCTTTCTAGTTGGCCATAGACAAAGAGAAATATTGTACAGTACGGCGAAGGACACGTATTCATGCGACCCCAGCAGAGAAAGAAGGATATGTCGTTTTATGTAAATAAATAATGTAAAATAAGTAGTGTAATCAGTTTGTTGATAAGCAAGTTAACTTGTAGTTTACTTAACGTTACAATGTGGCAGCAGGAAGCTTGATTTTGTGCATATTTGTACATGTCCACAAAATACATCCTGCGAGACATGTCAAGGATTTTACTGCCTGTTACATCGGTGATGATAAAGGTTTGCTGGCGATTGAAACGAAGGGTCTTTCGAATTCGGAAGAAGGAAAGAGGTCACAAAATATACTGCAGCAGAATAATCGTGGAACATGAAGTGGTTGGAAGCAACGCAGTGTGCATTGTGAAAATCCTGATGCCATAAGATGAGGACTGGTCCGTTGCAAATGATATGAGAAGCAACTCGAACCAAGGTTTAATTACTTTTAGTGACGAATAGATTTTGCATCCATAAAGAATTATCAATTATTATTTTCGTCTTAGCGTGTATTTATTTTGTAGACTGACACTGACTGATCAAGATTCTTGTATTATGGTATGCTCAGATTATGTTTTTTATGGTATACAAAACTTATCATCAATTGGTAATGTGACTGATAGCCGGGAATGGTGGAGGATTGACAGACAACGGCTTTTGAGTGAACTACGCACGCCCACAACCAGACAGGTTGTACATTATATCCCCATTTTAGTCGGCTCTCGCTCACTTTTTGTTATTTAAAAGGAGCCAAGCCTCGTCAGGTTAACCCCCAATTCATTTGGCAATAAGCATAACTTGTATTCTGAAAATGTCTTTGCTGTGGTTAACGTCCCCTCAATAACAATGATTCAGCAACCCATGCTTGCCGTAAAAGGCGACTAACAGGATCGGGTGTTCAGGCTCGCTGACTTAGTAGATGCATGTCATCGATCCCAATTGCGTGGATCGATGCTCATGATATCAATCACTGGAATGTCTGGTCCAGACTCTATTATTTTCAGACCGCAGTCATATAGCTGGAATATTGCTTAGTGCGGCGTTAAACAACAAACCAACAAAAACTAAAAACAACAAGAAGTACATAAATGTACTGTAATTACTAATCATGTATGCTTTTCGGTGTGCCTACGTTTGTGTACCACGACCAACGCTATGCCCCCATTGGAATAATTTTGAAGGGAGCGAAAAGTAACCACACGATGAGCGAAGTGGAACGCTGCCCGAGCCCATGAAACAGACCGCAGTTTGTGGTCACCGTCATTCGAGCTTTATGCGCTACTGCTTGGGTTTGGTGCTCTTGGGT